TCAATTATTATCCATTTAAAACCATTGTATTAGTTTATATTCTCTATATGCTTTTTCCAAATTTTCTGTGATACTCACAGCCTACTCAATTTCTAAACAATCTCAGGTTTACCTAATTTTTGCAATACCATATGCCTCACATTTTAAACGCAGGTCTACTCGATTTTAACGCCTAAATTTGAACACCCCCTTTTTATCTTCCTCAAACGTACCCCACCTCCGTTATCCCCCACACAAGCACAAATCTACCCACCTCCACATTTACCTCATCCCACCTAACCGACCCCCCACTTACCCGACTTCCCAAATACCCCCAAAAACCACCCCTACCCCGATGTACATCACAGAACCTAACCTGCCCCATCCACAACATCTAACTCTCCTTCCCCCAATCACGCACACCTACCTTCACCCTCCTTTATTTACACCATCCTCACACCCCAGCACTACTTACTGCTCTTTTAGCCCACTCCCTTCACACATACACACTCGTATTTCCCACTTCCACGGCACCTGACACACCAGTCTTTTTTTAAGTGGGGTATGTAGCGAGGGGGAGTATATGAGTACTTGTGTTTGCCATGTGTTCACAAAATTTTACACAAGTTTTAAAGTATATTTAAGGACCGAGTAAATGGTGGGGGGAGGGAAGGCAAGTAGAAAGAAAGACAAGTAAAAAACAATTCATTGTTTACTATAGCCAAATGTAAAAAACGCAATTAGACAATTCCAACGTTCAAGTTTTGAAACTTTACTTTCAAGTATTTGGAAAATCCAAGCTCGAACTCAAAAAAATTATAATAATTAACTATAATTAAATGAATCCATTTATACTTCATTTGTTATATAACCGATTATTAATCAATTGTAATAGAAATTTATGGACACAGACCATGAGAAGCTATTAAAAAATATTATCATTCATGGAACGTCAAGCGGATAAACACCAATTCCGTAAAAATTCAACTAGTCAAAATTGTTAAGAGAATATCAAGTCTAGTGAAAAACGGAACAGTTATCCATTGTTTAATACGTTTCAAGCACTCAAAAACAGTTTTTGTATGCATGGGCGAAATTAGGGTGGGGTGGAGGCGGCCATCCTTTTCCTCAGGGATTCGGCCCTTCACCATCCTAAGGGCTCACTATCGCTTTGGTACTATTTTGCTGCTTTATTTTTCGACCGGCGACACTTAAAACTTTTTCGACCAAAAAAGACCATTTTTTTGAAAACGGCCACTCCCTTGAGAAAACCTCCCATATGCCCATGTTTACAGAAATGGTTTAAAATCATCACCTTTTTGTATTTTGCGACTTTTTATTTTAATTTTTATCCATTGTCTTTATCTTCATCCTGGTCAAACTTTGACGCAATCGAGTCGATTTCGGGACACATACTTTACCAATGGAAAAATCTGACCACCAGATCGAAAAAGTTTTTTCAAAACAAGACCATTTTCAAGTCAAGACCATTTATCCACAAGCAGTGGCGTGCGCAGAAATTTTTCTAGGGGAGGGCTATTATTTGCGCGCTCTCCCCTCAAATTTAGTAATATTGGCGCCAAAAGCGCCTTTAGAAAACTTCTGATATTGGTCAGCCAAAAATAGATCTTGTAAATCTATAGCAAAAGGGGGCTCTTTTTCCTTTTCCCCCCACCTGCAAATTTTTATATTTGAAATTACTGTTCACTTTGTCCGATTGTCATAAAAAATGGCATGTAGACTAAATAGGCCATGACAAACATATTTGGTCTCCATAATTAACCTTGTAAGACCGCTCGTTAGACCATAAAATTCATGTTTGAGTGAGGTGGGGGGGGAAAGGAAAAAGAGCCCAAAAGGGTACCCTTTGGAAAAAATTTGGCAACCAGAATTGAGGGGGGGGGGGGACAATCGACTAACCCGCCACTCCCCCCTCCCCCCACGGCACGGTACTGTCCACAAGAGAAAGAACAAAAGTACGAGCTGTTGCGTCAGTGCTTAAGAAGTACGTGCAATTTTTTCGGTGATTTATCGGTGCTGAGATTTTTGCCTCAAACTCAGGCGACAAGCGCGGATCATAGTTGGGCTTTGAACCACTGACCTTTCAACTTGGAGGAAAAAAAATTAAACGTCGCTGTTATTTTAAAGTCAGCCAAATTGCTTTCCCGAAGTCCTCCATGAGCTGAAAAAAATCCAAAAAGGGAACCGTAAAGCTCTCCAAGTTATATCATTAGAGGGTTGAGCAGAGACAGACCATACGATTTCATTTCCCAAAAAAATTTCCCCATTTTATGCTATTTTATACTTTGCTAGAACAAGATAGAGCTTGAACAAGTGTGGTGTTTTTCGAGCTTGGCAACCCTATTTGGTTTTCTGAAAATGGGTCAACAACATTTAAATGCATTTTTTCAAGACCTTTCATTTCCTTTTCTCAGGTGGTCACAAAGTTTTGGTGAAGCTAAGCGAGGAGCAATTCGAGAACAAGCAAGGGGTGGTCAACCCAGAGAATGGAAGATTCATCTATTCGGAAATTTCGAGCACACCCAATGAGTTCCGAACGCATACTGAGGTCACAGTTGTGTGGGCCTCAGAAATCTACAAAAAAGTATGCAATTTTTAAAAAACTTTTAGTACAGTTTATTTTAAATCGCGGCCAATTTTTTCACCAAACACTGAAAAAAAATTTTCAGACAAACATAAACTAACTTTGAGGAAAGGTCGCGCCGAAAAAACAAGCGTGCGAATCTTGGTTGTCTCGTCTGTAAAAAGCCGAACAGCTTGAAATATTTAGTTTGCAAAATATATGTTTCACAAGCAGAAAAGTTTTTTTTAAAGCTAACTGAACCGTTGTAGGTATCAAAGGTGACAACAGGAGATTATCTACAAGTGGCGAAACTATTGGCTGTATTTTTCTTATCAGCAGAGAGGATTTTTGCAATGTATCGAAGAGTGAAATACTGCTTGAATCGTTGACCTGATAGCTGAACGTTTTATGATGAGGAACAAAATGAACAACTTATTTTTACTATAACTTTTTGTATTGTGAATTACATCAAAACTTGTGATTAGTGATGAAAATCATTTTAGTTTTAACAAATAGTACCTAAAAGCTTTGGAAAATTGCAAACGTGAAAGGAATGTTTCGAAATGGCGATGTGTTTTTTTGCCAAATTTATATGACTCAAGGAAAGGTTTTACAGCGCCGAAAGCGATATGCTTTAAGTTCTACTGTTCTTAATAACTGCAGTTGGTTTTCCCAAAATATTTTCAAAAAAAAATTCTGTATAAGTTTTTAAGATCTCTTTATATTTCGGTAAAACACATCCAAAGGCAAAGTTTTTCCTCAGTTTCAGTAGTAAGAACATTAAATCTGCACCTTGCTGGGGTTGAAGCGCTCAATTTTCAACTGCTTGTCAACGTTTACAAAAAAAATAGAAAGAACAAGCATAATGAAAGTTTCAAAGAAAAAAAATGTTTCTAGATTTCTCTGAAAACCTTTCGCAAAGCTACTAAATTTTCATTTTGATATAGCATCATGTCAGTCGAAAACATAATCGGAGATGGAAACATCCGTTTTGCATGGAAAAGAACAAAAAAATGCAAAAACGCTGTTTTTCAAATTTATGTGGTGTATTTATGGTTTTTTGATTTATATCATAAAAAGTAGCTCGCAGCAGAAAAAACTTTGAACGGCCAAAATATACTGTTCTGATTATCAAAGATGATGAGGGTTTTTGGGATTCGGCCGTGTACTTTTTCTCACAAAAGCAGTTGTCACAACAAACTTTTGTAAGATGTCATGCGAAATATCACATGATCTTTTTTCTATCATGATTATAGCTGCGAAAAAACAACTTCCAAATGCTTTTATGAGTTTTTATTCTATTTTTGGTTTTTTAATCTAGATTAATTGTGCTTTTTCAAAGGCTTTGGTCGGAACAATCTGTGCTACTTGCACAGTAATGGGCTATCCTTGTTACACATTGTAATCTTTTTGAATTTTGTATTTTGAAATATGAACGATGACTTTCATAAATCTGTAATATCTAGTTTCTGTCTGTTGAAACTAACTTTTTTATGTTTTTGGGCGCATTTTTTGGGCGCAGCTCTGAATGATCCAATACTTAATAGAAATTTTAAAACTGAGCCTTTAAAAGAAGCTCCCAGAAAAACTATCATTTTTTGTAGATTTTTTTCTTTGACGTTTTTTGCATGGCCAATTCAAGTTTAAGTTGATATAAGTTCCAGTAAGTTGAAAATATATAACTTAGTATCTAAATTATTTACTTTTATATCCATTTTGCATAGAAGTTTAAAAAAAAAGCAAAAAAAAACGCAATTTTCTTCGTTTCTGCTAGCTTTTTTTTTTAAATTTCTGCTTTCTGCGCTGAACCTAATTAGTTTTGTCGATGAAAAACGACTTGAGTAGAAAAACTTCAAAATAATGAATTTTTTTTATGACAAAAAGTTTTGTTTTGATCACCAAAGATGATGAGGAAGTTCAATTCGTGCTTTTTTCTCACTAAGTCAAGTGTTACAAAGAATATTCATCAAGTCTCAACCGATAGATCAAAATAAAAATTAAAATAAAAATTGACGCAAATAACAGATTTTTAGGTAAACTAATGCATGAATAGATGAAGAACAGCCCACACTTCATTGCAACTACATTTTTTCTTTTTTTTTGTTATTTTACGTAAAAACGACTTGAACGAAAACATTTGAAAAATAAGCTAAATAATGTTAATTCAACGCTTCCTCCTCCCCCTCCCACTCAAAATTCAATATGAAAACCATTTGAAAAAAATATATATATAAATTTGTTTTCTACTAGATTTTTTGCAAAGAAGACTGGGACACAAACATTTTGTGCTACTTGCAGCACAACCAGCCAATTTTTATATTGTTTTCTTTGATTTTAGGTTCAATAAAATATATCATTTTGAGCCCAACTAGATGTTATGTTTAATATACAACTGACTGAACATTACAACTAGTTCTTTAAAGAATTTAATGCCATCGTTATAAATTTTTAATTGATTTTTTCTTTTGCAATAATTTTACAACAGCAAATTTTAAGAAAATAAATAAACGTTAAAGCAGGAACAACTACTATAGCCAAAACAGTGAGACTAAGGGTGATCAAACTATTACGCAAAGATATCACATTGCTTTCTTCGAAGTCAAAAACGGTGGTTTGTTTCTGATCGATTAACCAATCTACTATATTTTCAAGTCTTTTGATAGAGTTTTTGGAAAGTTTTTCTTTCAACTGTTGCACATTTTGTAGATAGAAATCTAAGTTTTCGTGAATGCTTTTGAGAGCAGCTCGCATTTCGAGGTCGGATGGTTCCGAGGTGACGACGACTCCGAGGCTTTGTTTTTTGACTACATCGGCTAAGTAGAAATTGTCACCTCTCTGGGGAACAGCGATGAACACTTTGTCACGTGACAGGCCTTCCGAAAACCCACCAGTGGCACAATGAGACATGAACACTCGACTAGAAAGTTTTTTGATATTAACAAAAGAAAAAATTAACAAAACAATTACATGATAACTTTGCTTTATTCTGTTTTCAAACCTTTGCGGTATATTAAGAAAACGTTACGGATAATTCTCAATGTCTCGGTACAACAGAAAAGCAGTCAATTTGGGTTTTTGAATGTGTAAAATAGAGCTATTTGGGAGCCTGCCTACTTTGAAATTGACAATAAAGATGGTAATGATAAAAGACCTCCAATATTTTCTCATAAAAATCTTATGGAGAGTTACAACATCCTTCTTTTTTACTGGGTATCTTTTTACCAAGTCGCTTCTAAAATGATTTCAATTATCATCTTACACTTTCGGATGCCCCAAAATATCCCTCTGCGCCACTTTGCCCTGAACAAACAGCTTTGATTGGTCAATTTTATCCATGACGTCATAATTCCAAGTGCGATGAGCCCAAACAACTCTAAACTGATCCTGCGTTTCAAAAACACGCTTCAAGATTTTCGTCTCATCATCTGAAAAAGTGTTCCGGGTTCCAATTGAAACGTAGAGAACTGGTTTGTCGCTTTTGTCGATGAAGTCAAGAAGCTCTGGATTAATTCTGGAGAGATTATCTGGTTCATGTGGCAGTAAGCCGACAGTGGTTAGCTTTGGGTGAATGTCTCGACGAGCCAAGATTGTTTCGTCTAAATGAAAAAAAAAATACGCACAATGAAGTCATATTGATTTTTCAGCTAAGGAGATAAGTTTTTATAATAGAAATTGTTAAAAGCACTTAAGCGAAAGTTTCCACAAGAACGGTTTAATACATGCGATATTTAGAATGCTTAGGGCAAAAAAATCAAAAAGGCTTCTTCATCACTTGTATAAATTGATTATCAAAATATCCTAAATTGAGAAAACAAACTCTTTTTTGCTTCTACCTAATAATATGTTCTATAATTTATTTACCGAAGTAAGCAATCACGGGGTAGCTGTTCGTGACGTGGAAATAGTTATCAAATACTGGCAACTTTGAATCCGATCTTAGCTTTTCGAAATCACCAACTGCATCTCGCGTGAAAAACCAAAACAGCGAAATGAGAATTCGGTACCAATAGGCGGCACATAGTTTGAAATACCAATCGGGTCTAGTCGACTCAGGCACGTGATTGAAAGTAACTCCGAGTCCCAAATTGAATCACTCGGCGTGCATTGAAATCGGCGGAATGCTCGGTCGAAAAGCGATCACAAAGGGTATGTCGTGGACTTCGGCTATTGTTCCCGTGGCGAGGCAGATGTTGTCGGAGATGATCAAGTCGGGTCTGTCTTCTCGGATTAGGGCTTCGACAGCTCGGGTTGGGTACACTATTTCACCTGAAAATGAGTGCTTTAAAATTTGAGATTAAAGTAGTTTTGGACTTAAAATTACCAACGAAATGTCGAGCTAGATTTTTTTAATGTAAAATCCAGAAGTTTGGCGGCGGACAGAATTGATTAATGTCTTGTTATTGCTTACCTCTGATTGTCACATTAAGGAAGTTCATTTGTTATTGGTCCTGCCATGCATTTTAATAATTATTTCGTAAATTCTTTTCGAACGTAAGCATGAACTAATGAGTCACAACGACAGGAGTATATGAGTCAATTCTTATATGAGTCACAACGACACGAACAGAAAACTATCATTTTTTTGACATACAGTAAGATTTGGGCGTTGAAATTTTTGTAGCAGCTTTTTTTAAATTTCAAAAAAACTTTTTCAGTTTTTTGAAAGACTCTATGAGAAAAGATAACAAATTAATTGAAAAAAGAAAATACCTCGCGTGTAATTTTTGACATACTCGGCTCCCGACATATTCGGGTCCTTACTCGGGTAGAACCACTCGCCAGTGTCAAAAATATTCACACCTCCCAGTCTCTCGGGAATGTCACGACACTGAGCACCTGTTACGTAACTCACTCTGTATTTTTCCGCGCTAGTCGCCTTGTTATGTAATGTATACGCAAGGTGATTATGTAACATGGCGTGTGAATGACAACCTACGACTAGGGCTACATGTTTGGGTTTTATAGAACTTTTCACTTCCGGTATTTTTGGACCATCGGAACTTTCTGTTTTCGAGTCAGTTTGACCTAAAGAAACCCGATTGTATACAATCAAAACAAATAGTAGGATGTGAAAACCAAATTTTGTCATAACTTTACCAAGTTAAAATTTTGTTCGAATCAATGAGTTGCAATTTCAGCAGCAGATGCAAGTTTGGTATGAAGATTAAGAGCTATGATGTGTTGTTCGCTGGACTCACTTGATGGTTTGTTTGTACGCATGAGGGCGTTGAATGCAATATGTTTGGTTACTTTCAACTGACATATTTCAGTTTGACCATATCGTGTTTTCAGTTTGATAATATCGGTGTACTGGAACAAAGCAGAAAAGATCGAATTATGGTGGTTTCACAGCTTAAGATTTTTACTATTGTTCAAAGACCTCTAAATCTTAGGCCAAAACAAAAACAAAAGACTAACCGGTTGCTGTACAAGTAAGAAAGTATGCTCTGACCGCAAATTTTTCTTTTTTTGCAAATGTTTTTGGAAGTACTTAGCATAGTCGTCAGATCCCCTGCCATGGCAAGGATAGTGTGAGAGGATGATCTCTCTCCTTACCTATATCTTTAGGTCTATCTCAACCTGACCAATTTTGACTGCAATAGTGACACCGCGTGAAATTTCCAGACGCACAAACAAAAGTCTATGAGTCGCAACAGAGGAGCTTCGCTCAAAAAAATTGTCGGTCTGGAATTTGGGGAAATATCAAAAACGGACCGTTTAGATTTTTTAGGTTTCGTTATCATAGATCCTCTGCACATCCTACTTCATAGTCTCTATCAGTATCTTTGTAAAGTAGACGGAACAACACGAACAGCTAGTTTTTGCGCCAGAGGCGCATAACATTCAAAGGAACGAACAGCCCTTTTGTTGCAAGTTGAGTTTAATTTTCGACGGCACATCGAAATAGGTGGAAAACGGTTCGTAAAAAGTTTTGGAATAATTTTAAAAGATTAAAAGATTTTCTATATGATTAATTTTTAGAATTTTTTTCGATTTCCAAAATTTTTGGACAAAAAATGATAGTGGGTCTAGAAAGTTTGTTTGGTCTTTTTTGGCTTTTTAGACCAAAATTGCTCTAAAAGCTGGCTTTGGTATTGACTTTTTTCTACTCATTTCTTGCGCTTTTTAATCTGATTGTACAATGGAAATTGTTAGCATTGCTTCATCCCAATTCTCATTTTTTCAGTTTTTTTTTGAAATTTTTTCATGTGATGGAATAATTCTGACTACTTGCACAAATAGCAGCTCTCTTACATCTATTTTTTGAGAGAGAGAGAGAGACGGGCAAACTTTTAAACAATAAAACAGAAGAAAATTTCCGAATTTTCAACAATTTCTTTTTTAGTTTTTTTTTTCGTTTATTTTTTTATCCCACCACGCAGAAGAAACCAACATTGATTGAAAAAAAAATTTGGAACAAAAAAATAGTCGGAAAATTCTTGCACAGTAGCCGGCTGTCCTTGTTTTTGTTCTTGCAATCACTGTGATTATCATTACACCAACCAGCTATGCTAATTTTAAAACTAGATTTGATTTTAAACATTTATGCTAATATTCTAACTGAAGGAAATAAAAAAAGCATACCTATAATGGACAAAGCAACACAACTCAAAAAAACCATCATGGTGATATAAATTTCAATTTCTGTTCCGACCATTGAAATTGGGAAGGGTCTTTGTTTTCGGGTGTGTTTCAGTTTTTTTCTTTTCTTTTCACTTCTTTTGTGTTCCTCGCAAAATCAGGTACAACAAAGAACCATTAGAGAGATTTGAGTGATAAATCATATAAAACTCTTTTAATTGTTAATTCAAATTTTATTAAGAATTTTTTCAAAAACTTTTCTCAGTTTCGAGAAAAAACCGGTTTGAATTGTTTGAGTTTTCGTCTATTTTAGCGAGTATAGCGATCAAGTACAGTTTGTCGTATATGGAATCTAGAAGTTTAGGCTGAAAGAACTTGATTTTACTATGATGAAACTAGCGTTGAAAGCTTATTTAGTTCTTTTTTGACAAAAAAATATTAAAATTTTTAATGCAAAACATTGAAAACAATTTTTTAGGTTTTGTATTTCATTTTTTTAATCAAAGAAATTAATTTTTTGAAGAGCATTGGGTTCGTTTACGCATTATTCACTAACTTTCTTCGCAGTCGTGAAATTGTATCATTAGACGACGTACAAAAAAGACGTACTTATTGTGGTCGGAACATTCTGTGCTACTTGCACAGCAACCGGCTATCTTTATCTAGTTTTGTATTTGTTTCAACACCATGACCAGCATTGTTTGCCGAAGAGCACAGATGTTACTTTTCATAGATATTTCAGTGCTGAGTCTTCTTGGACTTTTGCAAAGCTTTCGACTAAGTCAATCGCTTGCTGGAAGGTGATCAAAAAAAAAACTTTTTGAGCTGATTAAAAACTGCTCGACGAATCAGTATCAATCAGTAAAGATAGGAGAAGTCCAAAATTTCCAGACTTTGCTCCACAACGCTCGCTTCTGACTCCTTTTTTTAGCAATATTTGTCAATTATGCCTCACAGAAAACGTAAAAAACAAAAAAAAACTTCCTGCATGCTGACAATGGAGAACTGTTGTGTCAATCGGCGCAACTTTTTCCATCTCCAGATCTTGCATGTCTGACGAATTACAATTACTGGGCTCATGGGACGAAATAATCATCTTGCAACTAAATATTTGAAAAATTGCTTCTTAACTATTTTTCGCGGATAATGTAAAGAGTAAATCCTGAGCAATTCCGTTTAGAACAACAAAAACTCAGAAATCGCTGTTAAAAAAAAACTCACCGTGGATTGAGAACTTCAAATCTAGATAATCAAAACTCACCCTATTTCTGTTTTCGCCGAGCTGTTCTATCCTGTTAAATCAGTTCGACAAGTTGTAATGGTGCATAGTCCTATGCAGTACTTATCGCTTCCTATAGTTCACTCGAGTGGTTTCCTTCGAAAGCTGTTGGCCCATAATAGAAAAAATTCAGCCTAGAGCAACCAAGTGGTTCTCACAGAAGTCGATGACGACAAATCTAGACTAAGCAAACTTAAGTTTCTACCGCTTTTCTTAAAGCTGCAGATGCACGGTTTTTTCTTAGTCTCACAAAAACGATATCCCTTAGGAATACTGCCAGTATATTACTTCAAATTGATCATTAAACAATTTTTTTTTCATTTTGCCTCGATTCAATCTCACGGGAAAATCCCGAAGTTCTGGAATCGAGATGCTCTCCTCGTCACCACCATTTTTCGCAAAAAAATCGTCTTTTTCAAAATTCCAGGTTTTCAACATGTATCTGGCTAATTTGTTGCTGTGATTCTCTTATATCAACAGTTTTTCTAAATAATTTTGTTTAGCAGCCTCAAATTTTTTCAGCTTTTTTCTTTAAATTTTAAATTAGTATTTTCATTTTTGTATGATCTTGATTGAGGTTATAATAAGTATTATGTTCATTATGATTTTATTCAGCAACAAATGTGTTTTCGAATGCATTAGTTTCGTACAATGATTCACAAAGCCTGTTTCCCGAGGTTTCAAGTTTGCAAAGATACAAATTTCGATGTAATGAATAATTTTAACAAAGTTAATTCCGGTGAAGTTTTTAATAATTTGGGTTTTAAAAGGCGTTTCAAAACGGGAGAAGACTTAATTTTAATTTTGGTTATAAAAAAATTCATGAGCTCAACGTTAAAGTTTGTGAAGATTCAGAAGCATAATTGCTTTCTATGCCTCCAGGGGAAAACTTATGAATCAATTTTATGACTTTTTATCGAAATTTTGATTAGCATGTTCGATGGAAATTATAAAATGCAAAATTCCGTGTTTTGATCCAATCAAACATAATTAATAATATAATGACATTTGCCGGTATGGGATTATTGGGGGCTTGACAATAAACAAAGAGTTTTTTCTTGAAACAGAATTTTTTGGCTAATCATATCAAAATTTGAAGAAACAAGACTGCTTGTATGTCAAGGAAAAGCCCTGAATGTTCTGACTGTCCCTTTCATATCGAAGAGTTTTTGGGGAAAAAATTATTGGAAAAATATAAACTTTGGACAATATCAAAGATTAAGCGTGAAAATTTGAGTAGTTCTAAATTAAAACGACCGATTAGCTAGACTCAATTCGATTTGAAACGCTTTTGTTGTGCGGTATAATTCACCACGCATAAATAATTTGCGTTACAGCAATATGAATAAATTCGCGCATAATTTAGTCCAGAACATGGCCAATTTGGCAATTTTCAAACCCCTAGAACTTTACAAAACATCATTGGAGGTCAAATATCTTTCTAAATTTGAACTCAAAAAGTCAATAGCTTCAATGGAAAATAAATAATTTTCATGATGAAAACTAGGTTTGGAAGCTTTATTTAGTTCTTTTTGGGCAAAAAAATATTTAAAATTTTTAGTGCAAAACATTGAAAACAATTTCTTAAGTTTTTAATTTCATTTTTTTTTAATTGAAGGCCTTCATTTTTTGAAGAGCATTGGGTTCGTTTACGCATAATTCACTAACTTTCTACGCAGTCGTAAAGCTTTATCGTTACACGACGTACAAAAAAGACGTTTTAATTGTGGTCGGAATATTCTGTGCTACTTGCACAGCAACCAGCTATCTTTATCTAGTTTTCTATTTGTTTCAACATCTTGACCAGCATTGTTTGCCGAAGAGCACAGTTGTTACTCTTCATTGATATTTCAGTGTTGAATCTTCTTAGACTTTTGCAAAGCCTTCGACTGAATCAATCACTTGCTGGAAGGTGATCAAAAAAAAAACTTTTTGAGCTGATTAAAAACTGCTCGACGAATCAGTATCAATCAGTAAAGATAGGAGAAGTCCAAAATTTCCAGACTTTGCTCGATGTTGGAACAAAACGTCGAATTTTTTGTCAGACCCCAAGCTGAGTGCTAACAGTGTCTACTTTTAAAATCATTTGTGTTTTTATCACGACTCAATCAAAAGAATAATAATCCATTTTTACCGGCAAGTTTTCAAAAGAAAATTTAAATTAAAAATACATCGAATTTTTGATTTCTTTACAAACTACAGATTGATATCAACATGGACATGGAAGTAAACACAATTAAAAATGAAGGCTCTTGTTTTCTTGAGTTCCCTTCGACGCAGTCACAAATATTACAGACTTCGCGCTGAGTTAGAGTGTTCACGGGTCGACCCGATAGAAGGAAGGCACTTTCGGAACTACAAGTCAT